CCAAGCCCCGCTCCATGCCCTCGCCCACGTGGACCGGGGCCACTTCCGGGACGCCGCGCGTCACTAAGCAGCAGATCGCCCCACTTCCGTTCGCGTCCCTCCTTTCGCTTTCCCTTTGGTGGACGCCGTGAAGCCGGCCGAGATTTCCGCGCGTTTCATTGGTGGAGCGAGAGGGCTGGTCTCCGTCGATTGGTGCCTGGGAACTCTGCCCCATAGACGCCCGCGAGCCGCTGTTTGCGCCGCTAGTTTCCCGCCGGCTGCCCGAGCTCCGTCCGCAATGATGGTGGAGGTGATGGAGTTGCCCAAGTCGCGTATCAACGCCAGCATGCTAGCCCAGTCCATCGACCGGCCCGTCTGCTTCGTAGGGAGGCTGGAAAAGGTGCGCGCTCGCCGGCCGGGCTCCCTGGTCATAGTCCGTGGGGTGGCGGGAGGGGAAGGGACCCCTTGACTGCCTGGGGGCGGCCTTAGAACGGGTAACGGAGGGTGAAGGAGGACAGATAGAAAGCCTTGACATCACTGCGCTCCCGGTTGCTTTATTTTTGCGCACTTTTTAGCTATTGCGGCCCCATTTTGGCGCCTCTTTTATGGCGCGGAATAGCAACGTTTGCGAATGCGCTCCCTTCTAAGTTCTAGCGCCCCCGCCCTGGTTCTGTTTGTGTTTACGTAAAAGAAATGGTAGACTTGACTCCCACATCTACTTTCTTGATATTTTAGTTTAGCCAGACTTGACGGCTAGTCTGATTTTCTTGTTTTCTTCTCTTCTGCAATTCTCCTTCTCAAACCTCGTTTTTCCTTGAAATCACTTCTCGATAAAACATTCCTCGATTGCCCCTTGCAGATCCCATAGCTGTCTGTTATCTTATCCCAGTGTTAGAGTGCAGCCCCTTCCTCCTCCTGGTGAAAAACAGGCCCCTCAGAATCGGTGAACCAGGTTAGAAAGCTGAAAGAAAACGAATATTATATAAAGGCTTAGTAATATCAGCCACACAACCTTTTTTTTTTGAAATAGGTGTTATTCTGACTTCACAGGTAGGGAAATTTGGTAGAAGTAGTGTAGATCAACCAATGAACTTGTATGCATGTATGCATAACCCGTGGACACAGATAATGGGATGGTGAGGGCCTGGAAGGGGGGGAGGGGGCGGAAAATGCTAATGGGGGAAAAAGAGAACCTATGTAATACTTTAATAAAGATTAAAAGAAAATAATTTAAAAGATTCAAACAAAAAATGCTCAAGGCCACATCAAGTAGCAAAGCTAGCACTCAAAACAGACCTGACTGCACACTTTGCAGCTGTCTCACAAGACTAGAACCCAGATCTTTTGACAACTGATTCTCTTTACTAAATCATGCCTGATTTTTAAAACATACCCTCAATGGAATATGTACTGTTTAAATCATGGGCCCCAGCAGAGTTCATTTTTAGATAGTATGGACTCCCTTTAGTTTTCAGCATAGGGTTGTATGATATAGCAAATAAAAATACAGGACATATTTGTACTAAAAAAGGTGTTCATCTGGAAATTGAAATATAACGGGGTCGTTTGAATGGATACAGTGACACAAGATTATAATTTGAACCAAATAAACGTCAAAAAACAATTGCTTTGCACACATGTATCTATTACAAAAGTTTGGGTCAACCTACCCATCTTTTGTCAAATTAATATTTTTATTTTAATGAGATTTTAAAGGTTTTATGTCGGATTTATTTTTTCATTGTGTATTTCTCTTTTAGATTCATCCCACTGGAAAAATGTTTATTCTTTCAGATGGAGAAGGGAAAAGTGCAACCATTGAGTTGATGGAGCCTGTACGTTCAAGTATTAATTCTATGCACATTAGAGTTAATTCTACATCTTGTTTTGGGTTGTTGCTGATATTTTTGGTTCTTGGAGTGGATGTATAAAGGATCAGCTTGTAAAACTTCCCTGGCTGTAAACGTCCATTTTTGTCCTTGTATTACATTCTTTTTCCCTTTACATGTCTAACCAGTGATTATTTGGACTCCATGATTTTTTTAATACATCCCTTAAATGCTAGGTGAGAATCCTCATGTCTTTTGAAAGACCATAAAATCATGTAAGGTAAATCTTTTGTTTAAATCACTTTTCTTCCTTAAGAAAACATGAATATGATATTTTTTTAAATCCTGTTTTCTATTTTTGTTTACATATATTTTCAATTGTCACTTAATTTGTCTTTATATTTTATATTTACATTTTCTTTGTCTTTTATTAAGACAAATGCATATGCTGTATGGTTCATGTATACAGAATATACTGTGCAAGATAATAGGTAATAGAAGGTTCCTTTCATTGGTCTTTTTGAACAAATTACTCCTTATAAAACTGCTGGACAGTTTCAGTATCTTTAAGTGATTTTGTCTTCAACTTAAATGTTCAGCTGTATCTTTGGACCTAGAGCTATAGCTAAAGGTTAACAGGAGTTGTGACATGCTGACAGCAAGTACTCAAAACATTTTTTAACAGGTTGCACTTCACTTTTGGCATTGGTAAATTTTTAGTTATTCTGATACATGAAATGAAAGATATAACAATTTTCCGAGTTAATTATCATCTGAAAATGTGATAACATGAAGTTGGTATTTTGTTCTTTGTGTTGTTAGCTTGATGAAGAAATCTCTGGAATCGTGGAAGTAGTTGGAAGAGTAACAGCCAAGGCAACCATTATGTGCTCATCTTATGTCCAGTTTAAAGAAGATAACCATCCTTTTGGTAAATAAAGCATTTAGTCTCATGTATTTAGGAGAAAAACAAATTTTATTCTTTAGTCTCAGGCCTGCTACATTTTCAATTTCTATAGAATTTTCTGATCTCGAAAATGGGAGGATATTTTGCCCTGCTTCTAAGTAGTGTGTGTATTTGTAAGAAACTCAGTAAAGTTTAATATTTGTGGAAATAATTTTTTAAGCCAAACAAAAATAATGTTAATCTTTTGTTTTGTTTTAATATATGGATTAAAGCCATCAAATAATGTATAAGACCTAAAACACAATAATACAATGGATGATCTCCTATCCCCCATGTCTTTCATTTTTTGGAGCCACAGTTAAATAAATATGATGGTCCATATCTCAGTTTTAGAAGATGGATTGGGCAAATAAGAAAGGGAGGTAAAAGAGAAAGAGGTAGAAATGTTTAGATAGTAGAATATGATAGTCCATATCTCAGTTTTAGAAGATGGATTGGGAAAATAAGTTGACAGAAAGGGTGGTAAAAGAGAAAGAGGTAGAAATGTTTAGATAGTAGTTGATATCACAACTTTCCACTGTACATTAAATGTTTGCTAAAATGTTTTTTTCAGATCTTGGACTTTACAATGAAGCTGTGAAAATTATCCATGAGTTCCCTCAGTTTTTTCCTTTGGGGGTTATGCAATATGATTGATCTTAATTGCAAATGAGCTGCATTGAAGACTGTTAAAGGAGATCCCTGATATTTGAGGGATAGATTCTTGTTACTTTTAATATTTAATTTGTTCTCTTTATAATTTCATTTACCTAACTTTATTAGATATTCCAGTATGCCATTTTTAATGGAACTGGTATACTGACAGTTCTTTCCTACCTCCTCATAAAGAATTACTTATCGGGCATATGGTCAGATCAAAGAGTAACAAAGCAGTTGTCTGACTTTTGTTTTCTGTTTTACTAATAAAAATTTAAATGGTACTTACTATTGGTCATGTTATTATTTTTTAGGCAGGTATTCAAACACAAACTTGGAATTTAATAGCTGTACGGTCCATCACTTTAGCTTGAAAGAGTGTAATTTGAATGAGTATAGTTGCCCTGCCATGTGTTCCTTGGCTTTCTGATAAGAATTTTATTAAGATATAATTCACATACAATTCACATATTTCAAGTGTACAGTTCAGTGGCTTTTAGTATATTCACAGAGTTGTACAATCATCACCGTCAATTTTAGAACATTTTCATGATCCCCAAAAGAAAACCTATACCATTTACTATTATAGCCCAGTTCCTCCACCCCCCATACACACACCTAACACATCACTATAGATTTGCCTATTCTGGACGTTTCATATAAATAGAATCATACATCTTTTGCGCATGCCCAGGATGTAGGCTCGATCCTAGTAGAGGACATGCAGGAAGCAGCTGATCAATGTTTCTCATGGATGTATAGGTGTCTCTCCCTCTAAAAATCAATAAAAACATTAAAATAAATAAAAACCAGACAAGTGTGAGAAGAGGAAAACTTTCTGGGAAGCTTACAATGGAGGAACCTGGCCAATACTACCTTAACAAAGTGAACAAGGTGAACATAAATGATGACATGGACATCATGTGCCCTCTAATACGATGTGATAAGAAAGGCACTTCACCTCTTACTTTTTTTTTTTCCAAAAACCCTCAACACCAGTCAAATCATGAGAAAACATAGACAAACACAAATTGAGGGACATTCTACAAACTGATCACTACCTCCCAAAACTGTTGAGGTCATGAAAACAAAGGAACTCACATAGAAAAGACTAAGGAAACATGACAACAAAGTATGATGGGGGATCCTGGATAGGCTCCTGGAACAGAAAAAACTGAATAGTCTGGAGTTTGTTAATGATAATATACCAGTGTTGGTTTCTTAGTTTTGACAAATGCACCATGGTAATGTGAGATAACATGAAGGTAGACAAATGGTGA